CAATGAAAAATGGGGTGTTCCATTTAAAAAAATTAATGTGACCTTGACCTGACCTTCGCTACGCAACCCAAGGTCAAACTGATGTGATCAGTAAATACATCTTTTTAAACGCCACAACTTTTATCTGAAACATTTTTTTCTAAAATGCTTAGTTTTCGAGATATTTCACCGGTCCTGGACTTTTTGAACACCCTGTATATATATATATATATATATATTTATATACAGGGTCCTCGAAAAGTATGGAAACAGCTCAATAATTCGGGATACATCTTGGAAAAAAATATTCAATATAAAAATTGTAATATAAATATTGCAATATAAATATTGCAATATAAAAGTTGCAATATAAATATTGCAGGATTTAAAAAGAGGCGTACGATGGCCTGATTTTGATTTTCAGCTTGATCTTTAAGGTTATTTCAAGGTCAAGTTGATTTTTTTAAATGCAAACCCCTATTGTTATTGCATATTCTTGTAACTTATCTCGAGAGCTTTTCAGAACACTATAATAACGTATTATTTTATTAAGTCCGCGTGGTATACCTTCGGTAATGCTAATGCCAGCGGTACTGCAACTTTCAAGTTTTATTATTCAAAAAGCATTTAATAAAAAAATTCGTTATATTCCTTATGGTAATAACTATTATTAGCTTATATATTTTTTAATCCATGTATCCAAAAATTTGTGTAACCTAATAGCATAGTACAAAGAGAACTATAATATGGCGATAAACTTTTGTCCAAGTGAAGGCACTTCAGAGATATCAAGGTCACCTTCATTTTTTTAAATGGAATCGATATGTTTTGTTCCTATCATATGATAGAAGGGCTTAAAACAAGTTCAAAACATATATCACAAGATCATTGAATAAGATTAAAAGTAAAAAAGCGGTAAAAAGAAGTATAGATACAAAGTGCACGATTGATTGATTTTCATTTTATTTTTATTTTATTTTATTTTATTATTAGTTTGTCCTAAGAACTTGCTAAAATGAGAAATGTATTGTAGAGAGAAAGTCTGCTTCTGGATAAATAATTCATTATTTTTCTATTCTCTAATAGTTTCATATTTCGATTCGTATAGCTATGTTATTTCATGAATTTATCTATTTAATATACAATTTTGAAAATCTTGTTAACTATTTAAAGTTAACAAATGTGATATGTACAGCAGTTTAATACCCTTGGTATGGTAAAAAAATAATTTACAATTATAATGAATCATATTTGATGTAATGCGGAACTTGTTATTATAAACAAACTTATAAAAAAAGGAAGCAAAGGAAAACATGTCCTTTTAAAATGAATATTATACAATCATCATGGTTTGCATTAGCACGTATAAGTTTAATTGTAGCCTATCGTATAATTGTCTATTTTTTAATGATCAATTCACTAAGCATATTGATGACAGAGTGTAATATATCCATTTATACTGCCATAAACTGGAGTTGATTGTTAATTTGATCTTTTATTGATTTTTATGATTTATCTTATAGTTACTAACACAATGGATTTCTAATGACAATATACCAATTGGAGGTTTGCATAAAATTGTCGAGATTGATGAGGCAAAAGTCGGTCATAGAAAATAGCACAAAGAACGTATCATAACAGGGCAGTGGATATTTGGAGGAATCCAAAGGATTTTTTATCATACCTGAAAATCGAAAGTCTAAGATTCTCATAGATCTCTATTATTTAACGCCATATTACACCTGGCACTATTATTTATAGCGATAGTTAGCGAGTTTATGATGCTTTAAAAATAAAAACTATACCCATAAAATAGTTAACCACAAATAAATTTTGTTAACACTTTTACTGCGGATGACGCCAATTGGCGGCATTCCTATCCCCCACTCTGTGCGGATGATGCCACTTGGTGCTCCCTCTTATTTGCAATATTTTACTAAAAATATGTGTTACACCCGGGGGCGACATTCAGTTTTTCATACGCAGCAAAAGGATTAATTCGTAATCTGGAGTATATACTTAAACATTGAGCGACTTTAGAGAGATGTAAGAAATATCATACTTCTATATGCACTGCAAAATCGTTATATGCATTATTTAACCGAATTTATATTTTAAAAAATATATCTTTTAGAACAACGCATTGATGAGTTTTTCAATATTATGGCTTATTTTTATAAACCAGATAATAATAGTGAATAATATTTGACCGAATTTGTACTTAAAAAGATTTATCTTTTAGAATAACGCATTGATGCGTTGTTTCACTTTTATAAACCGAATAATAAGAGTATTATATCTATTGCCAATGTGATGTTTAAATCTTCCGCTTTACTAAATTGATGAGTCTACCATATACTAATAGATCTTGAAAGATTAGCAAAGGCTCCTACGCAAGGTGAGTTTATGTTTGTATCAAAATATATAAAAACATTATCCTAGACTTGTGACTTGAATATAAATCCCTTGCGTAAGTGGCCTTTGTTAATCTTTCAAGATCTGTTTTTTTAGTATATGGTAGACTTATCATTTTAGTAAAGAGAAAGATGTAAACAATATTTTGACAGATTACTATTTCGCCTAATAAATATCGCCATAATCATATTATTTATATAACTTTGTTTTTCATACAGTTATTTACTGCATTATTATAGCTTATTTTGTTACTTTTTATTATTTTATGTTTTATATTTTAAAAATAATGTTTATTATAATAAAGTTATACATAGAACTTACTCCTAACCTTGCTCATTTCTTCAAATTTTTTTTGTCAATAAATTTTTTTAAGAAGTGATCACCGCTTAAAATTTGTAGGAAGTTAGTCTGAGATGTATTCTTGATAACATATGTGAAAATCAGAGATATCGGAGGTGGCACTAGTAATCTCTGCATATTTATCTTATTTTCTTATAAAATTATTTTCTTTATTCCATTTCTATTTTTCTGCTTGCGATTTTCTTGAAATTATGACGATTATTAGTATCTATTTTTGTTATTGTTTGCATTGAGATCAACGCTTATTTACATTTGGCAAAAGAATTATTGCGTAAGTAAATTCATGACAAAATGCTATAAAAATTCAAATAAGCATAACTATGCAAAAATTATTTGAGTATTTTTTTTTATTCTCAAGAATAAAGTCTATACTTTAGATATTATTTACTTAGATTTTTAATTTATTTTCTTCCCTCCCGTTGTCTTTTTGAAAGTAAGAATGTGTTATATTTACAAAATGTATAATTTTGATTGACTCACAATATGAGGGAAAATAAATTTTTTTCGCAAATTTCATGATAATTGTAAAATATAAACTTTTCTTTATAAATTGAAAAACTAAATCAAGTTTTATTTGAAAATTTTTATCTTCAATATATCGCGAGTGGTCGAAAAGTCCTGCGAATTATAATGAACATACTATTCATAAATAATATGCGTAGCATTACGAGTATCTGTTTCATCGACGCCTACGGTATCTGTAAATTTGGTTCGACCGCTCCACTTTCTTCGTATTGCATCCCGACTACTGACTCACTAACCTCGACTATAGTATTTATAGACGCACACTCATGTTGTTACTTTCCAGCGTACACACGCGTTCTATCTAAAGTATTAAAAGATTAAGCATAGAACATCAATAATGATATTTGTTAAAATTTTTGAAAGCTCTAAAATAATAAAAAATTATATATAATATAAAAATAATATAATATAAAAATGTGAATATCTAAACTACTTTAAATATTACTTGAAATAAAAAATTATTGAATGTTTCCAAGGACTTTGGATATCTTGAATATCTACATCCAAGGTAATACAGTATAATATATTACATATACATATAAAAAGACTTGTAAAACTTTGTAAAAAAAATTGTACATATAAAAAAACATATAGTACATGATATATATGTGAACTATACATCACTTTAATTTGTCATTATCATTATTTCAGTTTAACTCTCGTTTTAGAAAAAATATTCTAGATAAAAATTGTTTAGTTCCCAGAGTGACATTATGTTAAGGTTAAGATTATATTTAGTTATATTTTTTAATAGAATAATAATGAATAATAATTGGAATAAATAATGTTGCTCTTTTGCATAAGTAAACTCTGCTAATGATTCTGCATATAAAAAGTAAGATAATTGAAAAATAAATATTTTTTATATCTTATATTTTCTCCTGATATATTTTAGCATAAAAGAAATATCAAATATGTTGAATATTTTATAAAGTGCAGTTTCCGGTGACTTTATCTTAATATCTTTGCATATAGAATGATGGATGAAATTAATTGCTGTAAAAAAGGAAAAAATAAGAAAAACAGGTTGGATCATTCTCGATCTTGCCTTCATCGGCTGAACCATTCTCCATTTAATAATAATTATTAATATTAAACAGAATTCCATTGTATTTTGCAAATTCATAGATGTAGCAGTGCGCAAAGATTATCATTAATCAATTTTTAATTCGTCCATACATTATTCGTCCATACTTTCTCGTACATACATTTATTTTTTTATTTATTAGGTGTTAGTTTTGAGGGCTTTTGTGCAAAAAAGAAACACGTATATTTTAGAGAGATATTAAATTATTTTAATTAAAATATTTTCTATCGTTAGCTACAACTTTTTCCCACTTTTCTGGCAATAGGTGGATTCCGCGGTAAAAGAAATGTTTGTCTTTCGAAGCAATCCATTTCGAGCCATTTCTTTACTGCATTATATGTTTTGAAATGCTGGTCAGTAAGGCCGTGCTACATCGATCGAAATAAGTAATAATATGAAGGAGCACAGTCTGATGAATACGCAGCGTGTGGTAAAACTTCCCATTGAAATTCCGATAACGTATCTTTAACTGCTTTTGCAACGTGTGATCGAGCATTGTCATGCAACAAATCATAGATATTGCGATGTCGATGATTGGCCTGGATCTACCCACGATCTTTTACGCTTAGGATTATCACAGTATATCCATTTTTCATCGTCAGTTACAATTTGATACAAAAATTGCTTCTTTTTGTGTCGAAAAAACAATGAAGTGCAAATGGTTAAACGATTCTGAATTGCTAATTCAGACAATTCTTGTGGAATTATCATTTGCCTATTTGCCTTTTTTTTTGAATATTTTCCATTGCGTGTAAACGTTCAGGTTAATTTACCAATATTTAATGTTGTAGCTAATTCTTGAAGTGTTTGAGCTGAGTTTTCATCCAACAATGTCTGCAATTCGGCATCTTCGAACTTTTTTGGTTGACCTGAATGTTCTTTGTCTTTCAAATCAAAATCACCATTTTTAAATCGTCGATACCAGTACTCACACGTTTTAACTGATGCAGCAGACTCAGAATAAGTTTCCGAGATGAATCGGTGAGCTTCGGCAGCTGTTTTCTTCGAATCAAAGCAGTAAAATAATAGATGCCGAAAATGTTCTTTATCACGTTCCATGTTTAGTTGCACTAAACAGTGCACTAAACAGTGTGTTTATGTTTACGAATGCACAAGACATGTGTCAATTTGTTTGTAGAGAAGTCCTAGCTTTGATATGACATACCCATTTTCAAAATGTTTCAAGTAGATTTGTAGCTATAGCCATCTACAGTGAACTCTCAAAACTAACTAGAACACCTAATATTACCAAAAAGTTATTTTTGATTAAACATATTTTTATTCAGTTTCGTCGTTTGAGAATATCTTTTTTGAAAATAAGTAAATAATCAGAATGAAAAAGAAAAATTAAATAAGAAGAGAATAGCAAAAAAAAAATATTAGTTTTGATTATTTTCTAAGGATATTTTAGGAAAAAAAAAATTATTTTTGGAGTAGTGAAACAATGAACTTGGAAATAAAGTAATTACTTAGTAACAAAATAATTCCTTCTGTTTTTCTGCAAAACATTTCAAATTTGTTCTTATCGGGTCAAATAACTATTTTTATTCTCGAATTTTAAGTGTATTTTCTTATTCCATTTGATTTTAAATTAAGTTAGTTATTTAATTTAGTTACTTAAGTTCGTTACCGCTACTTTGCTAATCGACTATACATATCGAATGTTTCACTTTAATCGGTCACTTCGATTATTTTCGATGAGGTTTAATGAGATAAATATTTAGATAAAAATCGTAGGGAAGGTGAACATACGAAAATACGGTGGTGACCTGCTGTCCATGTATGCCCGTCTTTACCGTTGCTCCTTCTCATTCGGTGCAAGTTATCGATGTTCTTTTGATTTCTAGGATCAAAAATATGTTTCCATTGAAAAAAATATAGTTCACTCTGTTTGATCTCTTTGGAGTCGACTAGATCCCATGTCATGACCACATGTTTCTTCACAAAATTTGATGCTCTTTCATCGATTTTTCGTAAAAAATAGATATTCCTATTTTGAAAAATTGATGTAACTTTGAAATGATCTTTAATATAGTCACATACAACAAGGTCAAAGTTATCATCGTATGTTCCTCTTTATATCCTTTATCTATATTTTTTTATTAGACTTTACTATGCGAAAATAATCTGATCGATTAAAGTAACATACCCTGTATAAGTCTTCTCTCTAGACTTCCTGACAAATGGTTTATGTAATACGTTTAGTAGGACATTTTTTTTAATGCACCGTTAGACATTTTTTAAAGAGTGCGACCAAGTTTAGCCACATTTTTTGTAAGTTTGAAAATGGTCATAACTTTGGTTTTTTTGAAAACTTATTGCGAGTAGATTACAAAAATATAAATATCAAGATGATCGCGCCAGAGATGTCGCTTCCGAACGATATCTCTGAGCGTTATCTGGGGAGAGGAGAGTATCGTGAGCGTGGAGCGTCAGGTAGCTCAGTGGTTTAGAGCAGTCGTCCGGCAAGCGAAAGACCCGGGTTCGAGTTCCGGCCTAGCAGAATCGCGCTCTCGATATTTTTCTCTCTCTGGAACGAAAAGATACGCAGATCTCGAACGCATGGCGTCCCGCCGCCACCTAGTATACCCTTCTTCTTTTATGGAGGAAAGAAATATGTTTCGAAACGTCAACGAAATATGTTTCCCCCGAACTTACG